TAACTTGAGTTGTCTCATGAATTTGTATTCTGATGTTCCCATTTCCCTTGACATCCATTTTGGAATTGTTGCCTAGCTTTACCATTTCCCTGAAGGACTCATCAAGCTCAATAAACCACTTCTTATCTCTAGTCATATGATTGCTGCATCCAGAGTCCAAGAACCACATTTCTTCTTTCACCAAATTATCCATCTCGACATGGGAGCAGCATTTCTTCATCCAACTCAGCATAGTTGACATTCTTGTCCCAGTTAGGACACTCATACTGAAAGTGTCCTAGCTTGTGGCACTTAAAGCATTAAAGAAAGTGTCTTCCTCGTCCTCTTCCTCTACCTCTAGGATTTCCACGACCTCTTCCTCCAAGCATTTCACCACCTGTGACTTTCAAAGCTTATTCTTCACCGTTATTCTTTCAGAACTTCTGCTCATGAACAAGTAATGAGCTCTGCAACTCATTCACAGAATGTTGATCAATATCTTTTGACTCCTCTATGGAACAAACAATATAATTGAACTTCTCAATCAGAGTGCGTAAGATTTTCTCGACAATTTTTATATCTGGCATATTTTCTCCAGCATTTCGCATGTCATTGGCCACCAACATCACCCTTCAGAAGTACTCGTTGACTGAGTCACCCATCTTCATCTCCAGAATCTCAAAATCTCTGTGAAGTGTTTGGAGTTGAGCTCGCCGAACTCTAACATTCCCTTGATATTTTATCTTCATGGAGTCCCATAATTGTTTTGATGTGTCCTTCTGAATGATGGTTTTCAGAATTGATTTGTCAATTGACTGAAATAGATAGTTTTTGGCCTTCAAGTCTTTCAACTTTAGTTCGTCTAACGTTTTCATTTCTGCAGCTGTCAATATTTCTGCCCGAGTTGGTTCAGTGTAACCAGTTTCGATGAGAGTCCAATATTCTTTTGATCTCAAAAGGTTCTCCATTAACATGCTCCAATGATCGTAGTCTCCATCAAACTTTGGAATGCTTGGTTAGGCAAAGTTGCTTGTTTCTACCATCTCACAATCACTCTTTTCCTCACAGTGTTTCACTCACACCCACTCTCTAAATCATGCCCTTTAAGGGCTCTGATACCACTGTTGAGAAAAACTAGAGCTTGAAGATAGTAAACAAAAGCTTTAGTAGCTGTTAAGCTTAATATTATTCATTGACTTAAAGAGGCTTTTATAGGCCATTACAAAACAAAAATAATAACAACTGCATCCACGATCATTTATCGTGACTATCTCTAAAGAAGAATAAATCAAAGAGAAACAATATCCTACAAACTAGGATTTATTTCAGCAGAAAGTAACAAACATTTAAACCAGCAAATTAACTATTAAGACTTGGTCAACTGATAACCAAGTTTCCCAACAACAGTAGCCTCAAATTTGATCTTCCATCCTATCTGACCTCACAGGCCACATAAAAAAATCAATAATCAACCAAACATATAGCCAAATTTCAATATCCAAACTAAGATAACCACAAAACTAAAGAATTTCAACTGATTCCACCAAAAATATCAAATGACACTAAATAAAACTAAAAAAATCACACAAAAACATAACTGACACATATAAATACTATTCGAATAATACAGCTATTCTCTTACCCGTCTTGGAAATTAATGAGACAACGAAGATGAAGCAGTGAAGATCCAGCATACGATAGAGATTTGATAAAGCGAGGAGGATAATAATTTTCTTTTGAAACCTTAATTTTGATTTAAGAAATTGAGATTTTTTTTCTTTTTTAAAAATTTGATATTTTTTAAGAGAAAGAGAGCGCGCACTAGGGTTTGTTTTCCTAAGAGGCACGGGAGAGTCGAGGGTTCATTAGAATTCCAAGGCGAGAAAGATGAGAAAATACGTTAAAAATAGTTATATAGCGTGTGTATCTTCGACTGTTAGATTTAAATGTTACAGCAAGGATTGGATGCGTGGACCCTAACAGCAAGAACTATAAAGATTTGGAAAAAGCTCCTTGTACATTATTTGTTGACAGTGAGGTTGATAGTGTTTCGAAATTCATGACATGGCAGACGAGAAAACTTAATGAAAATGGAAAATTGGGGATTTAGTAGACCCGGCCCACATTTTCCCCATTTTTGACACATTGAACTCTACATCCACAATGTCATAATCCTCCTCCCGCACCCGAAATCCATCCCATACAATTGACGTGATGAAATCGATCGACAGCGTCGTTGCATACCAAATTTTGTGACTGGAAGTGAATTCAATCCAAGTTCGTCATCTTCACACCCACATTGCACATATTACACTGAATAATTCATGCAATTTATTTTGAACCGAGATACAGTCAACATTTTGCATCACTGACTGCACAACAAATCTGTGAATTGCAAATCCATATACAATCTCAAAGAAATTAGGGACAAATTTTCAATTGCAACATCCATATAGAAGCTCGGGTAAGAGGGGGGGGACAATTTTTCATTTGTAGTTGGAGTCCAAGTATATGAAAACTTCAATCCCTAATTTTGACATCCATATGCAAGATCAAAGAAATTGGGGACAATTTTCATTTGCAGTTCAACTCCTCGTATATGAAAAATTCATTCCCTAAATTCGAAATCCATCTACAAGCTGAAACAAATTGGGGACGATTTTTCTTTTGCATTTTAAGTCCAAACATATGAGAAATGCAATCCCTAAATTCGAAATCAAAATTATGTTGCGTGATTTCATCTTACTCGATGAAAGGTTGAAAGGAGTTACACGATGAGGGACAAACGTCAGGAAGTGGAGAATGGAAAGCGGTTGTCGATATGGCAGTGACCGGCGAAAATAGCGACGGGTTTGGTAGAGGTTCCAACGCCTGCTTCATTAAAAGAATAAAGATTGGGTGGCGATCTCGTGTTCTCTCTCCGCCTATGGTAAAGACGACTTCGCCAGAAGTGGCGACCAATTCGATGAAGGGGATTCTAGTGGTTTGGTCGTGTGTGGCGCTCTGCTTTCTCCCAAATGACGAGTCCGATTTTTGGAGGAAATAAACGTGTTTTCACCGTTTTTATTTTTTAAACATTTTCCAGTTAGGACTGTGAACCTAACTATCATCCAAAATGTACAAGTAGCAAGAATGTTGTTCCCTTTAAATATCAATACACATGTAAAGGTACCACACATAAGGATGGCAAAAAAAATCTGTCATACCCGATGCTCGCGAGGCTGTCCGGGGTAGGTATGGGTAATAGGGGCCCTGCCTTGTTTAATTTATTTTTTTTTAAGAATTTAATACTTTATTATTGTCCACTTTAATAAATGGGGGGGAATAAAATAAATTATCAAAAAAAATAAAAATTAAATGGGTATTTAAACGAGACAAACTCCCCGCTTTGCCTTAAATGGGTAACGGGGCAGGAAAATGCCCGGCAGGACAGCCCGTTGCCATCCCTAGCTACACATTCTCTAAACTTTTAATTAAATCTCTACTTGTTTATTTTTCCACCGTCAATCCGCTTTAAAAAAAAAAAAAAAAAAAGGTTGAGCCCCAATCTTGAGAGCCCCGCCCCGCCTTTAGAGCTTTGTGAGAGAGGTAAATCGCGGGATGTGTTCCAACAGGCCAAAGAACAAGAGCTGCCTGTACACTGCGTCAATCCACTAAAACTTATATCAACAATTGATATAACAAGCAGTGTACCAATGGTCATCAACCCTTAGTCTTGATTAAGGGGGCTTATACCCAATAGGTTTTGTCCGAGTGAGGCATTTAAAGAGGTATCATTGGATTTGTTGCAGCAAGCTTTAGGGATTTTAGGTGAACAATACTATCATACTAGATTTTTAAAATATTTTGAAACCATTTCAGATTGACAACATAGTTGTTTGACATATAATTATCTTATTTTTTCCAGAATTAGATAATAAATTAATGAAATGTAGAAAATATTTGAAATGTCAATTTTTCATTGACTTTTAGACACGCGTATCTTGAATACAAAATAAGGATTCACTTTGAAGAAACATCAATGTTGTTCTCGCAAAAGGACCGAGCAATGGGAGCATAATGATTAACATAGGGGATGATCGAACACACACGTTTCGAAGGTCGGAGATTATTTAATTCACGTGGGACCCACGCACTCTGTGAGGGTTGGTTACCAAAATGTCAAATATTTTCGAGTAAAGTGGCATTTTCCCTCCAAAAAACATAGCACTACGATAAAACAAATTTACTTCGAATAAATTAGTTTCAACAATTTAAAGAAATACAGAGGAGCAAAGTCATATTTACCCAAACCTTAGGTGGCAACAGTGCAAATACCCTAATCAAAAGTGGGACTTGAAACATTATCGTACAAAGACTAGCCCGTGTTTGATCCTCATTACATTCAATTACATAACATTTCATTTTTCTCTTTCCTATTTTCAACCACACAGTCTCCAATAAAATAATATTACACGTAAATCGAAAACTTTTCCTTTTTTTCAATCACTCATTTTTAAAAAAAAAATAATATTCCCCCCATTTTCAAGTAATGGGAGTCAAACGAGGGCTAACCACTCTTAGCCAGCCGCAAATGGTTTTTCTGTCTAGGGTTTATCATTCTTTCTTCTTAACTCATGGTGGGAACGGAACAGAACAGAACAGTTCATATCCAATTCTTTCTAGTAACTTTTCAAATTCTCTACTTATTTTCGAAATTTTATTTTTCCTTTCAATTTTCGGACCTCCAAATGAAAAATTAAACAACCTATTTCAATTTTATTTTATTTATTTATTTATTATTATTTTTTCAATTCAATTGGTGTCTTTAGCTAATGTCATGCACTTCTATTCCTTTCAATCAATTTATTTATTAAGGGCCCGTTTGGTAGAGATTTTGAGAATTGATTTTGTGACCGTTAGAAGAAAAATGGGGTCCACATGTGAGAGAAAAAGTCAAAAATTACGGCTTGAATAGTAAAATAACGATCAAAAAATTAATTTTTTGGGACAAAAAATTCCCACCAAACGGGGCCTAAGTTTATTGGGTCAAAGGTCAATTCTTGAGTTTCTCAAGAATGAGTTTTTGCACAGTGTTCTCTATGAAAATCCCCATTAGGAAAAGAATGTGCCTTTAGTACCGGTTTACGAGCGTTTCCACTTCTTGTGCTGCTCAAGTGGAGGACTCTTCTTCTGACGAAGCTCGGCCCCGGAGAGGAGTTACAGTGAGCTGCAACAAAGAATGCAGATGCTTGCAGCCTCGGGCAGCATGGTGAAAGCTATTGCGATTTTAAATTTAATGAAATATGTTCCCGGAAAGCCGACTGTGTACGACTACAATTCAATGATTTATTGTTATTTCAACTCAGGGTATGTTAAGTTTGATGAGTTGTTTGAGGTATACATTGCGATGAAAAGATTTGGACCTAACCCAAATGCATCGACTTTTAATACGCTTTTGAGTGGGTTAATTTTGGTTGGGAGATTGAAAGATGGGATTTTGATTGCACAAGGAATGATGGAGAGTGGGTTTTTGCCTTCATATAATGTTTTATCAAAATTCTTTAAGAAATTTTTGAATCTAGGAAGTGTAGTGGAATCTCTTATAGTACTTGAAATCATGTTGGGGCTGGATTATATTCCTAGAAAACGTGATATGATTGCCTTGATTCATGGTCTTTGTAAAGGCGGAATGATTCAACAGGCATATTTTGTGTTATTGGCACTTTAGGGGAAGGGATGCTTTTGCAGTGCACATTTATATAATCCCATATTGTGGCTTTGTGTAAGTGTAAGGACAATAAAATTGCTGTAGCATTTCTTGGTTGGTTAAAAAAGAAGGTTTTATATGTAATGTTTACTTGTATACTGCACTTATTTATGGTTTCAGTAAAGACGGGTTGTGGGACATAGCTTTTCATTGTCTCTAAGAAATGGAAAATGAAGGTTGTAACCTAGTGTGATAACTTACACAATACTTGTTAAGTTTCTCTGTGATGATGGAAATGTTGATGATGCACTAGGCCTTTTGGAAAAGATGGATGAGAAAGGATGTGATCCCGACTTGGTTACATACAATATAATCCTCTGTGAACTTTGCCATCAAGGTAGGACAACTGAAATTGATTGTCTGTTCCACGTTATTGATAGAGGGGGTTTGTCACCTGATATGTATACCCATTCGGCTTTGGCTGGAGGCATGTTGAAAAGGGGAAAAATAGAAATTGCAAATAAGCTATGCTTGATATCATTTAAAGAGGTTGCTCTCTAGACGCTGTAGTTTACAATATATACTGGCATTCTCTGGCTTGTGATGGTAAATCTAGAGAAGCTTTGTCTATGATACAAAGTATGAGAGAGAAGGGTTTTAGACCAACCAATATAACATACAACATGATTCTGAAAGGATTATGTAACGAAATAAAAATTGATGAAGTTCTACAGTTCTTTGACTGCTTCGATTGGGCCACAGGAGGGCCTGACATGATTTCCATCAATAAAATTTTGTCCACTGCGTGTAAAGAGGGAAATTCTTCTATGATAAGGAGGATTTTGTACCGGATGGAGTATGAAGGAATTAAGCTTGATGTTATGAGCTCATCATCTCTTATTCAGTATTTCTGTAAAATTGGGGAAATCCCAGAATGCTTTAAGCTTTTGGATTCCATGGGTCGTCAACCTAATACTATGACCTTAAACGCTCTCATGAGTTGCCTTTGCAAACATCGATTGCTTGGTGTTGCAGGAAAAATGTTCAGCTATTTAAAAAGTATTGGAATTTCACCTAATACAACTACATATGATATTTTAATGCGTGCTTCCATATGAGAAGGCAACGATTTGCTGATAATTAAGCTCTTAAAAGACATGTATGGCCAGAAATTGAAGCCAGATGTTGACACCTGTGGTTGCTTCATTTGTAGCTTTTGTAAAGAAGGCAAGATATTACCTGCTCTCCAGCTTCGAGACCAATTATTTGCCAATGGAATTACTCTAACATTGTGATTTATGATACCATATTGGAGGCCATGTTTAGGAGAGGAAATTTTTGGGAAATCGTCTCATTATTGAAAATGATGGCAATGGATGGCTGTGAACCAAATGCATATTCTTTGGATATAATGGGACGAGCTATGAGAAAAGGTTGGATGAAAGGATTCCCTAGAGCAACAAAAGTTTTAAAGACCGTCATGGGTGGTAATTGGTAATGTGAGAATGAAAAATATCACAGAGATTCATGGATATTGATGAAGAAAATGGACCTTATTACAATTGCTTCATTGTGAAACTTCCAGGAGCTCTCGCTGAGATTATGATTTGTCTGGAAACTGAGCTCATTGCAGTCTGCAACAGGTACTAAATTTCTTAATAAAATGTATGGTTGGTATCACCATAATTGTGCTTCACAAGCATTTGCACATTCCCAGATTATTGCTGCTTGATTCTGAAGACTTGATAAAACTTAGAAGAGCCTTCATAAGTTTTTGGGTGAAATTGCAAATTTAGTCCCCAACTTTTGGCGAAAGTTGCATCTCATCCCCAACCAATTTTTCTTCTAGTTTTTTTGTCCCCCATCTTTGAGAAATTAGCAGATTAAGAACCTCTTCACAGTTTCATCTAAATCAAGTGTTAAGTTAGCTGACCTACACGTGACTTTTAATGAAGTGAAAATGGACCAACTACTAA